ATTGGTGGATAGAGATGTATGTTACATCACGTATCGTATGTCCCAACGGCTAAGATGGATATACATACCTCACACTTTCAATTATCCGTATCTTAGCTGCATATTAAAAGGTACTTGTCTCAGTATCAAGCTTCTATGGTTTAAAGTCAATCTGAACGAAGGATATTCTTTTCAATAATTTCTCCACTTCAGGTCCTTACAATTACAATTATAAAATATAATATTTATTGTCGTTACAATAATGATAGCCAGTTATGCGGTGAAAATTTTTTTTAACGTAGAATAACAGATTAGCAGTTATGGAGTGTCAAAATAAATAGTCGTATTTGTGTGACAAACGTGCTAGGCTGAAATCGATTATAAAATGTTGTAAAATAAGAGACAATGGTGGTGATTAGTCATAATAGATTTGTATAGTGTGGGGTAAGAAAACTGGCAAATAAGTCAGTTCAAGGTTATAAAAGGTGTAAGGTGAATGGCTAGTACAAATTCGTAGGTATTAAACAGGAGATAGTAAGACTGAAATGAGAAGTTCATCATGAAATAACTAATGTGTGGAATGAAGCATGTGGAGGTGTAACAACAGAAGACAAGGGCCAGGCAACAGATCGTTTAATTATGAAAATCAACACGTATTTATACATATTTCACATACATTATTATAGCTTATGCAAGTAGACAAGCGCAGTTATCTGATTGGTTGTTTATCAGAAGTTAGGCAGACAAACACAGGCTTCTGATTGGTTGTTTCGGGATTCCTCGACAAATAGAGTTCTCTATCTGCGAATCATATTTTGCCACGTTAACTTTGCTGTGATTGGTTGTTGAATCAGCCTTGCTCATATTTTCTCACGGACTGCTCTCACCACAGAGGCATATATTGAGAAAAAAGATAATATCACTAATAATAAGTCCTCATAATGTAAATGGAAGATTCGCTAGCACTGAGAGAATGTTTAATTGAAGGATTTAAATTATGACGAATAGTAATAATTGTAATATTAAGCAAAGAAAGAAGAACAATAAAATAACCAAAAAGGTTAAGAGGAAGAGGCACTCTTGGTGAGAAGAAGAATCACTAATCTAAGTTTAGACTATGGTAGGAACAGCGTCTGGAAGTGCTCAATCCTGTCACCCTTGGTCAGTACTGGACATCGCATCGACACCAACGTAGCTTTCATGGTTATATACCAAATTCCGAAGTCGTTATCACGTACAGTTCGCTAAAGTCTGCTACACATAGCTGAAGCTGTTGCAATAAGATCGACTAAACTGGTACTTTGTATCCAAAAAGTACACGTCCAAACGCTGTTCCTACCATGGCCTAAACTTAGATTAATGATTCTTCTTCTCACCAAGAGTGCCTCTTCCTCTTAACCTTTTGGTTTTTCTATTGTTTTTCTTTCTTTGCTTAATATTACAATTATTACTATTCGTCATAATTTATACCCTTCGTTCAAACATTCTCTCAAAACTATCAGATTTCGCATTTATACTATGTGGACTTATTATTATACAAGTGGCAAAGCAAATTAATGTCACATATATAGAATAATTCATAGGATGGATAGAACTTGAAAAAGGGTGTGCAATTATAGGATTAGTAGACAAATCGAATAAAATAAAAACGTTACGTAATATTGTGTGAAATTCAATAGCATAGAATTTAATGTTGTTATTATTTCCTACCCCACACTCTACAAATCCATTATGATTAGTCACCACCATTGTCTCTTATTTTACAACATTTTATAATCGATTTCAGCCTAGCACGTTTGTCACACAAATACGACTATTTATTTTGACACTCCATAACTGCTAATCTGTTATTCTACGTTAAAAAAAATTTTCACCGCATAACTAGCTATCATTATTGTAACGACAATAAATATTATATTTTATAATTGTAATTGTAAGGACCTGAAGTGGAGAAATTATTGAAAAGAATATCCTTCGTTCAAATTGACTTCAAATCCATCAAATGGGAATATTTCACGCTATTAAATCTATGTTTACCCACGTAGGGTAGGTAGAATATACACATCCTGCTTAACCGTAGGTTGGAGAATGGATCTTGTTATTCTGATGGTTTCATATTTGCGAATTAACTTCTCTGGTTAATTATTTCTAACCGGAGTTTCTCTCGGTATTCTTTCCTCGCCTTTAAGTTTGTCTTCAGTGCCTAGTCGCTGGATCCTACTAAGGAGTCACCTCATCAGGTTATGCACTTTGTCACCACTATTATTAATTTTTCAAAAAAAAATATTTTTACATTTAAATTATCACACAAATTTCCTTTGTTAACTACGACATCCGCTCGACCTGTTGATAATGGCATAGTATTGCTCACCAACTTCTCACCATTATAAAAACTTATCCGCCTTGATGAATTTGAATAAAACATGAAGAACAGAGGTTTGTGCAGAATAATAATAATAATACCGTCATTTGATTTCATTGACTATTCATCATAAGGTCATTTAATGACCGGAGACTTCAAACTTATTAGACAATGGTCAGAAGATTACACTTAAATGGTTTACACCCAGAAAATCCAAATTTAAACAAAAATTAAAGACTTGAGTACAATCCCTGTGAAGTTGAACAATAAAGACAGGAGGAGGGACAAAAACTGATGATGAATAACTAATAAATTGAGTAACAGTATGGCGAGTTCATTTCGAGTCAAAGAAACAAGAGACACATAGAATCACACTGTATCAAAGTAGTGAGAAGATAAAGTTAATGATTACGCAATCGAATGAAAGAGACAATAAGGATATCCAGTTACGAGGACCAATTAAAAGGTTGATAACTGCCTTTTCCTGAACACATAAATCGAGTTTCAGGAGTTCGACAGAAATTGCTTCGGAAAACTTGAGGTGACTTGAACTATTTGGTTGATCAATAATTTTGTAATGTAGCAAAATTTGCAAGTATGTTAAAATTATTCTATACCTAAATTTAATAATTTCGTCTCGGCTGTATGCAGCTGATGAGAAGCCAACGAAATAAATAATGATGGTACCATCTAATTTTTCGCAAACTGTTGCTATTGCTTATGGTCATTGCATTGGTAAGTTGCGTAATATATTAAAATACTGTGTGTATAAACATACATATTAGAGTAGATCCATTGAGTTATTGAAAAATTGAACATTTCTTTGCCCAATTTACTATATTTCAGGAGAGCCATAAACACTAAATGAGTCATCATCCGTCTTTTTTCCTTCCTTTACGTTCTCAGTGGAACATAAGGCCTAAAGTTAGGGACTTGAAGTTTCGGTAACAGTGGTCTTATTTTTACGGGATGGAGTTGCTGACTTCATGCCAGACCTTCCCTCTTTACCAGCCTTATTACTGGCTTAGTGAGGTGAAGGAGTGAGTCGGCCGGGTTTCGAACCCTGAATCACATGCGTGGTTGCCGAATATTCCAGGGTTGTGCCACCGACGCTCATTATAATAATTATTCTAGCAAGGATGCCAGTTTATAACTACATGAATACATACCAATTTTATCAGTAGATATCAAGCACTGCGAGACGAGTCGGTGAATGAACTAGTTGGTTACCTTACCACCTATCCCAACATATAGGTTATAAAGTGAAAGAGCCGTTAAAATAAACAATCTTTGACCACAGATTGATATCAGTTAGAGAACCACTAAAAATCAGAGAGTTAGAGTTCCTGTGGTGGTCAGTGAGTCGAGTTTCAATGGCTAACTGGTCTATCAGCTTGCTGTGTAACCGAGATGTCCTAGGTTTGAACCCTCCCTGGCGGTGGGTGGGTATTGCCAATGAGTCTAAAACTATGACAAAACAGCTGTCCAGTTCTCCATAACGGATCTGTCTCTAATAATAATTAAATAATTTTTCCTTCACGTTCCCAGTGGAACATAGGGCTTCAAGCTGGAGGCTTGAAGTTTCTGTAGCAGTGTTTATTTTTACAGGATGGGGTTGCTAGCCTCATACCCAACCTTTCCTCTTTACCAGCTTTATTTCTGGTTTAGCGAGGTGAAGGAGTGCGTCGGCCGGGGTTCGAACTCCGGACCATGTGCACGGTCGGCGAGCGTCCTAACCGCTATGCCACCGACGCACTGGCATCTGTCTCTAACTGATATCAATCCATGGACAAACTTCATAACAAACTCTTAAAAAATAAATTATATCATTTATTGATTGGTGCCAATGAATTTCCTGTCGTCTTCTTTTTTCTTACATTGGACGGAAATAACTTGTCACAGTTAACAGTAATGGCGAGCCACTAGAAACGATAGGTTGCCTCAATAATGCGATCCTGACAACTACAATTCATGTTACTTGACAGGTAATCATCATTCAACCAATCATTCAGGTTCAGTAGGGAAAAACCGAGAAGGAAATTTAAGGGCTTCAATGATACCTGGTTTCACAAAACGTCACTGGCTTACGTGGTTTATTGTAGCCTGGTGAATAACGCTTTATTGTTTGAAAGGCCGGATTCGAGTTTCAGTGGGAAAAGAATCATTCAAAGAAGTTTAAGTTAAAGCAACTGACGACTCTTAAATGGGTCGAAAAGGAGGTCTAAGATTTTAGTAACGGTCACCATCTGTCATATAAATGTGATAATTTGGATACGATAATCGACACATAGCGTAACATTAGGATTATATATAATTAGAAGCTGCACTCAACTGACGAGTCTCAAGTAGAACGAAACGCGTATCTTAAATTCCACTGATAACCTGATAAATAGATAGATGAAAGATGGATAGTTTTCTTTTGTAAATATACTGTACTTTCCGTTTCGCCTGTGTGCATTCTAGCTTAAGTAGGGAAGGCAGGGAAATCAGATAGCTGATGTATAATGCTGTTGGTTTAGTCAAGCGGTATTCGTAATCAGCGAGTCTGTCACCAGCTTCAGTGTTCTTATCCTACCGCAAAATTTCAATTTTATTGCGAAATAATAAGGTTTCGACATCATAACAACCAAATAACAAAGTTAATGATGAAAAAACCTACCAAATTCCAGTAACGATCAAAAGCGACCAGATTTCCGATTAACAAAGCCCTGGGCTCTCTTAAACCCCTTGTCATAACGTGTACCTGACTTTGTTGTTGCATAGCTTTCCATAGTCTAGCCATAGGACTGAAAATACGTTGTTTACGCAGATGGTAACCACGACCATGAGGACGAAGTAGATCAGGATCAAAACCTTGACAAAAAATGTATTCATTATGCAAAAATTGCTAGAATTAATCAATGGGACTTTTAAAAAAATACCTATTGATTGATCGAAAATATTGATGATATGGAGAAACTACAGGACAAAACCAATCAATATTCATGAGTTCGTACTTCACTCACGTCACGTGAGTACCAGATTACTGTACTCTTTTACGGGTGTGAGATCATGACTACTGAAAGTGGGAGGTGTGAAAAGGTTGGCACTTTTCGACCACAGATAAGTGGTATGACATAGTGAGTAATGTTGACGTTAGCAATAGATAGTAAGAATTTAATTGGTGGATGGTGACTAGTAGTGGAATCCAGGATGCGTATCTCGTCCCATTTGGGACTCGTCAGCTGGATATACCTGCATTCCCCAATGTGTGATGATTTTCCCACCTAGGCTCGAGCCCAGTGCCTATAATTTCAAATTGTCAGTCATCATCCACCAATTAAATTCTAATTATTGTGTCGGTGGCACAGTGTTTAGGACTCTCACCGACCATGCACATGGTCCGGGGTTCGAGCCCTCGCCGACGCACACCTGATATCTATGGTCGGCCTGCAAAATTTGGGCTACCGATATCCATGCTGAAAATTCCATACTTGTACCAAAAATACAGTTTGGAATCAAGCTGTAATCAAAAATAAAAAAAAAATAAAAAATACATGCCCAGATATCTTCGAAGCATCTGCACAGGAAAGCCGATATGTCAACCTGAGACCGAGCACTTCCGCCCAATCAATCGACAGTAAAAATCTAAACTTCAATCAAATAGACAGTTAGTTAAGGAGGAAAAGTCATTCGACGAGGTAGTGCGGCAACACCGACTAAAGTGGCTTGGGCACCCACCGAGCCACCTCCTTCCTCGATGAGCAATAATAGCTGATGTCAGACTAGGTTGGAAAAGAGTTAGCCATGGTCAGAACAAAACCTAGCACCATCCCATGAAGTTTTTGATAGTCGGCTTGAGCCAGTCACATAGGGAGGTGTAGGCTGTGTCTGGTTACGGTCCTCAAGAGGCCAAAACTGGTCATAAGGTTCTAAATCCTTCTCATTGACACAGATGCATTCACGCATTGTGGTCTTCTATAGTTATAAAACCCCTCAAGTTTTCCATGTCACTTTTATTTCTCCCTGACATTTCTGTCTGTTAAAGTTCTCCTTTGAATCTCCTTTTTCTCTAACCTAGTTGTGCTAGATGGAGTATGATAACTTGAATTGGTGCACTTCTGTACAAGCTTCCATCTGGAAATTTGGTAAGCCAGTCAACTGAAAGGTTGCAAGGTTGTTTAGAGCGAGTAAGACAAAGTAAATTGAACTCATAAAATCAAAATCTGCACCGTGTTAGCATTCAAACAACCAGTAACCACCAAACTACTAGTCCAGTATTCCACCAGTTGACTAGATTTTTCTATTTTTAATTACAGCTTGATTCCAAACTGTATTTTTGGTACAAGTATGGAATTTTCAGCATGGATATCGGTAGCCCAAATTTTGCAGGCCAACCATGGATATCAGGTGTGCGTCGGCAGGGGATCGAACCTCGGACCATGTGCATGGTCGGCGAGAGTCCTAACCACTGTGCCACCAACGCACTTCAACAACAACCACACGAAAAAGCACTGTACAGTCCAGTGGTCACTTGAATGAGAGTCACATAATTATCACTTCGGTAGAAGAAAACTTATTTGGCCACGTTGTATGACTGACTGAGTTTCCAACAGGGAATTTAGCAAAAAAATACAGTACTTCAATTTGGCAGACTCCATATATCACAAAAAAGTACAGGAAAACCTTCAAGGAACGATGATAGATGGTAAAGTGTGGGAGGAAGAATAACTAAGTGAAGAATAGTGAGAGTTTAGAGGACCTAGGCGCCGACAGAAAGTGGATGAATCTGTGCCAGTGTGAATGATTTTGATGCATGTCACTAAGTCTTCAGTCAGTGAATCTCGACAGACACAGTCGTGCTGTCTACACTTCCACGTATAGATATCTCAAACCAAGTCACTCAGATACTTTATATCCTGATGCCATCACTTGATTCCTTCACTCTTAACTGTTTCTCAACTTAATTCGACATCAGTTAATATTGATCGAAGACGAAGCCAAGGGCTTGGCATGCGTAACACGTGTCCTAGTCATCTTGATTCACACCGCTTCACAACCACATCAATTGATTTTCCCCCTTTACCTCATAATCTACGCCTGACCCCATTATTTAATATATTAGTGTGATCACATGAACGGACAGTAACGCTTAACATGCATTCACATGACAGCTGAACATTTTACTACTCGAGATGATTGAAGCAAAATGATGATTTGTCCAGCTGATAGAGTACTACTGATCACTAGTTGTTCGAATCCTGTCTCTCGCTATCAAAGATCTTTATTTCATTTTCAACCAACAACTACTACAGAATATTTTAGAAAACGAACAGAGACAATTGGGGAGGAAATTTAAATGGGTTACATACTTTTCCAATAATTCACTAATGATCTTGGACGTTTGTTCTTCCCACTGGATTGATTAGATGTACCACGTTTCGTATTTTCATCTGTATAGATATCAGATGAATCGTTATCAGCCTGTTTATTAAAAGAAAATCACAGATTACAATTTTTTAAAAATCAGGTCTACATATACTTGGATAAATCAACAACGTTTCGAACACGGTTTAGTGATTAAATAATCATACCAATTGCAACCACATAGCTTTAAAACTCGGTTTCCACAGTCCCTGTCCTTCTTCTCCGCTTATTGTATAGGTAGTTTATACAAACAGTGAGTCTCTGCAAGTTTCCGTGGAATTCTTTGAAAAGCAGGAAGAAGAGTGGCATTCAAGCCCACAAACGAATTATGTCAATTATAGGAACCTGTGGAGCCCACTAAACGGAATAATTTAGTTTACTTAATACCATGCAGTGATTGTGAGATCAAAGCAGTAAGCCATGGTCAGTTAGATTAGCGCAGCACCTATGGCCTAGTGAAATCTAGAAAAGTGAATAAGATCTACAGAAAAACTCAGGCATCCCATTACATACAGTTACACACAACCATACAACAAGATGAGACGAAGTGAATGTCTTCAAAACCAATAGAACAGGGTGGAAGAAAAGACTGATAACTGAAGCTTTATTTGCAATAGGAATGATTCAGTGACTATCTCGGATACCTAGAATATGCTACTACCCTTGCGAGATATGGGGAAGAGAAGAAGAGATTGTAAAAAAAGACCGAATTCCTACGTTATGTAGTTACAATTTATATGATTATAAACAATAAATTCTGTTCGAAACGTTATCGAATACATGATATCGTTTGATTGTGTAATGTATCCAATAAAAATTAACATACAACCAATATAACAATGGCAATAGTAACAATAACAAATGCAAGGTTAATCAATAGTCCGTATCACTATCACTATGATACTCAGTTACCTAGAACATATTTCTCATGTACCAAGACAAAAAACACACTTATTACTATGTAAAGACTGGTGATACTAGTGGCAGACTGAAATAGATGGGTTAGGATTCAAACATAAGGCTAATTAGTTGAAAGCCGAGTGCATACGTTGGTAAACCAAGGTGCGGCGATCGATATCTTTTGCATTCTACTTTAATACTATTTAACACTGCTGTAACCCGGTGACCACTGAATCTATGGGTTAGTTAACATGATCATCATTTTAGATACCTTGTTAATTTGTAAAAAACAGTGACTAATATCAGCTGTCTTTACTATGTGTTTAGATTAGCGAAATTCATCCCAGCATGTCTTTTAAACACTAGGGACGCTCATTAAGTGATAGTCAACTCGAAGATTTGAGGGGAATATCATGCGATGAGTACCTGTGACGATATCAACAACACACATTTCTTACATATCAACACTGAAGATCTGATGGCCAGTCGGAAAGGGAAAGCAACAAAGGACTCTGGCGATGAGCCAAACAAGAGCTTATTGCCCAAGAAATGTACAAAAGGAGACAGAGATGGATTGGATAAACTATTAGGAGACCGTCGAGTGACATCAAGTGCGTTAGCAAATGGAAAGCGACGATTTGGGTGTGCATCCGAGGGTGATGTGGACGAGACCATGAGAGGAGATAAAAGCTAATGGGCGATCGCGGAGGCGGTTATTAAGGACTACAAACAGCAAGATGAAATGCAGATGTGTTGTTGAAGTCCTATGTTCTACACAGGAACCTAAGGGAATAATAATAAATATAGAGGTGAAGTGGCAAGTCCACTTACTCTAAGTGACTTCTCCGGCTTTTACATCTCTAATACTGTTTTAACTATTCTCTTTTGGTTATTATAAGGCATCTTGCAGAGCCGAAATATCAGTTACGCAAAAAAAATTTAAAAACATCAGGAATGCAGCTTATTGGCTTAAGCACTCAAGTACCACGTTACAATCAAATTCTGCATATCTTTAGCCAGGACAACTGAGCAGTGATGTCTTCACTCTTCACAATGTGCATGCAGCCTCTCTTGAGGCTCATCTTTTATCAAGTTCGTGCTTAAAAAGTGATGGGAACAATAATAGCCCTCATAAAATAAACCTCACACATGGCATTGTACAAGCAGAAAGCATCTCACAAGTAGGTAAATTCTAACCATACACCAACTAAATGCGTTAGACATTTGTTTATTCTGCTTCTCATCATCTGCGTACAGCCTTAACGGATTATTAAGCTTATATACAGACCAATTTTAACATACTTGCAAATGTTACATGCTGTCGGTCTGAAGTTTCCCGTCAACTGACACCAGGAACCACACAGACAAACGACGGCACTAACTTATTCTGTACAAACCACTGTTTTTGCTTTATTCACATGTCAAACTTATCTGCAGATGTTTCACTGTCCATCTTTTCGAGGAACGAGGGCGCTAACTACTTGACAGATTTGCACAATGTCACATTTTCCACATTGAGAGAGGTATGATAGTTACCTGAAAAATGATTACTTTGATTCATATAAACGAAGACAGCAATAAGACAAGTCTACCTAGTATCACCTATGGTAGTCATAGTTGTGGTGGACTGGGTGATTCAACAGACCATATATAGCTAGAAGACGGACATACATTGGACCGACAAGAAGACTCTAAAAGATCTGGACTTCGCAGGCGATTTATGTCTACTGTTACACAAACTCGAAGATCTACAGCCGAAAACCAACGAGGTGGCAGAGGTCGCAGGCAGAGAAGACAGAATCTCAAGTAAATATAAAGAAGACAGAGATGATGAAGATATCTAACCAGCAGCAACAAGTGTCAATCCCTATCAACGGGAAAAATCTACAGAGAACCACTCTCCCTTAACTAGACAACATAGATAAGGATATAAAAAGCATTACTAAGACCAAATACCTCAAAATCATGAGCTAATTTATTAGAAAATGCACGTTTCGATGCATCCTACTTGCTCCTCGTCCCGGCTAAACAATACCAGTTGTTAAACTGACCTGAATGTATATAAAATGTAACGAAATTGAAACAGGCCGTAATGCGCTTGCACGTTATATTTTGTACGACTTAACGTCTGGGTCTTTTTGTTAGGACTGTCACCTAGAATAGATTTCTTAAGTAGTAAGCATCGTTTCAACTACAGGCGGAACTGACGAGGATATCAAAGCCAGAATCGGAAAAGCAAGACAAGCTTTCATTACTCTTAAGTCTGTGTGGAGGTCAACTGCACTCAGAATCAAAAGATAAGATAAGATCCTGATTTTCAACTCCAATGTGAAGTCAGTGCTACTCATTATGCGGATCAGAGACTTGGCGAGTCATAAAGAGCATCTCAAGCAAACTTCAGACCTTCATTAACAGTTGTCTTTGCTCAATACTTCACTCAGGATCAGATGGCCGGCCAGAAAAGATCAGCAACAGGGATCTCTGGCAATGGGCGAACCAACCAGGAACCGATTGTGAAACAAGTAGGTAGGAAGAAATGGATGTGGATTGGCCATACGCTGAGGAAATCATCGAGTGACATCACTAGACAAGCCATCGCTCGAGTGGAACCCGAAAGGGAAGCGGCGAGTTGGTCGTCAGTGCAAGGGTGACTTGGAGGAGGTCATGTGAGGAGGAAATGAAAGCATGTGGGCAGACTTGGAGCGGGGTGAAAAAGTTGGCGGAAAACAGAAGGCAATGGAGATGCGTAGCTGAAACCCTATGTTCTTCTAGGAATTAAAGGATATAATAATAATAATAATAACTAGTAAGCCATGAGCTACACTTAGTTTGCGACGGTTCATTATACTAACCACGTGTCTAGGTTGTAGTAGGCAGGGTGGGATTTGAGCAGGGAACTCATTAGCTGTAACAAATAAGACACATCTTCACACCTCTGGCTCTTACAATATTTACAAACTAGTTTAGCACTTTTGTAAATCTTATAATTCTTAGGATTTATAAACCTTTATTGATTTAACTTTTAGTCTACAGAATTAAGAGGGGATGTCAACAAGCTTTACACTTTAGAGATTGCCTATCAGACTAATTTTACTTTTTACAGTGAAGCTATAATCCATTGTTCTAGATACTCGACTTCCAACCACTGAGTTACGCTCTCCAACCCGGTGCGCAACACCTGCCGTACCGAGATTTGGTCGGCCACGTAATACCAGCGCCCCCCCCCCAAACACACAGTAGGTTTGACTAGTTGCCAGCTAAGTGAAAATGGGAATGACTGGTTGTTGGATAACATTCCTTATACTTTCCCCTGGTTCGATAAACGCCCCCAATCCATTGCCACAAGCTGTCTTCCCCAAAGTCAGTTTTTGGCAGGAAATACTTTGAATTATTAACTTAACGCCCTTAATACATGACATGATAAAATACACACGCCTTATGTGACTCGTCGACCATTAAATTGATATGTTTATAGCTATGAAGCTTTTGCCCATGTATAACAGGTAATTGGGGTCAGGCTAGACTCCTCCTCAACCCATTTCCGCCTGGACATCTGAGTTGTATCAGCAGCTTATCCACACGAAGAATGTGACTCCCAAACCAGTTCATCAAAACCTTATTCAGAGTATTTGAATCCTAACACACATCTCACCTCAATTATCCGGAACAGATTTCTCATATACTTGGCTAAGAACCACTCTGGTCATATGAGGGCTTGTGATATCACTCAGTTGCTCAGGCACAAAATAGGTGGAGCCTAACTTGGAGCTATGACCGAGAGGCTGAAAATCGAGTGTTTACGACAATGAACCATATCTCCAACTTTTCTAGTATGTACAACATATTAAATTTATTTAAAAATGAATCACTTGAAATAAATCAGTAAATTACTTATTCTCATCATTTCTCTACATAAGCACATCATTCATCTCGAAATGTATACAGACAACAAGCGCACTTAATTCTCATAACCAACAGTTAATTTTAAGCGCTTTGAAAACATTAGAAGATAAGACTTCAATATACTAAAGGTTACTATTTCAAAAATATTTGTGTACAAAAAGAGAAAGACAACAAAATCTGTATAAAAGTAGATTATATCTTTGAAATTTATACTCTGGACAGATCGATATTAAAAACTTAATATTGATATGGCAACAGAATGAGAAGGCACAGTAGAACAGTTATAATTGAATTTCACTCAAGAAAACTGATATGAATGGAAGACAACACCCGACAAATCTTGACGAAGTTATTTTGGCGCAGTACTTTTATGATGATGATGATAACGAGAAGTTGAAACATCAAACACCTTAAGAGGTTGTGTAGAAGGAGTGGGTAGCAAAGCAGGCGGAGTTAGACGAGGAATGTTAACTACGTACGTCTCAGAAGAATTTGATATATTTCTATCCTGTTTTTCAGTTACGGACTTGTCACTTCCTAGATATTTCGAGAGGTTTTTGTCATGATATTTGAATGCTGCTTACCTTGCAGATAAGACCCTTGTCTGTGTGAAGTGTCAGCTGTAGGCTGGCGACTGTAATCATAGATAACACAGGGAGTTACTAAAGTAGGAAGGTAGTATTTCTCTATACAATCTCTCTGACTTGGAGGAATATAGATTCTGTAATCAGTATCTTTCCGACGTGATAAATACCCTTCTTCATCATCGGTATGAGAGGTTCGTAAGTTCATATCTATTGAAGAATTAATTGAAGCTGCAACTGATTCCAACACTTTCTATTACTTTGATCCTCAGATCTACAGCAATGGTAATAACTGTGCATAGAGAGAAAATATATTAACGAGCAAGATGAAATCATTATTTTGTAATATTTCTTTGAAAACATATACTCATGTTATTACAGGCAAAGTTGACAACTATGAATATAGGAATAGAATTTTACCAACTTATATTACTGTGCAGCATTCAGTGAGATACGGCTATAAATACTTTTACACATTTCTTAATAAGTTATGAAGGGATTAGTGACAAGCAACTGCTGAGCAACAACGGAATTGAAAGACGTTATTAAGTAGTGTGACGTGATGCAGCTAGTGGAGTTTACTGGACAATTCCACACGGTGAATTATTTGGACTAGATAACACTTGCGAAACAAATGTCAATAAGACCCAATGCATATCTGCTAAATGAACAAAAACTACATCTTTGTTAAACAAAACACTTCCTACCTAGGCTAAACGACCAGAAAAATTAACCTGAATTGTGTCTATTAACATTTTGCAAGCCACATTATAAAACATACACACAACCACATGCAACTTTGCATAATACCTTCTTCTATTTCACAGGACTCATTGGAGAACCGACGTACTAGGAAACATACCGAGCTTGGACTGGCCCTGACGTATTGTTGAATAACTAGCCATTGAGTTATTCAAAAATTGTATTGACACAAGTACAATGAAGTGAGTTGATATCTGGTAGAGTTCCCTATATGTACTGAGTTAAAAGATGCAATAATTATATGTTAAAAGCGATGGGACTATCCAATTACAAAAGTCAAATTCTAAAATCAAACTTTACCTGGGTATTTAATAATGAACCGCCTTTATTTTCAAAACAATACCAAGGGGCTCTTACTTACACCTTACATATTGTTGTTGGCGGCCGTGCAGTGCACACAGAGTATGGCAGAAGACAAATTCAGCACATTGGGCATGAAAGTGATGTAATTAATAAACAAAGTCAGCGTCAAAAACTGATATCACACTTAATGAACAAGACAACTGAATATATTCACATGCTTTTTGCGATGAAAAACTCATAAGGTAAGTCATGAATAGAAAGTTGAGATTAAAAAATGGTCTTGTATTGAATTTTGAAATACGTGTCTCCTCACATTTCATTTAGATTAATATCGCTTTATAATGGCTTGTATCTGATCCTTCCCAAGCTTATTATAATACTCAACTAAATCTCCCTAATTCTGAACTAACTCTAACATTCGATGTGTGAATTCTGAAATCGTTCTGAAAAAGTCTGGTTATGCGCATAAACTAGAACTCAATGCTTGTTTTCAATATGATTGGCACTTATTCGACACTGTGCTTTTTGTGGGAGTTTTGAGAAGTAACTCAGATTGTACAGGGTTCACTAATCAGCGTTGTTTAAGCCCTCTCTGTTTAGATTCAGTACCAAATGACATTACTTCAGAGCTAAATGTATTAGTTCAATGCATAGTGGCGATTTTCAGCCGCAAATACTATTTTTAGGCTTTCGTTGCATTCATTAGGCGTTTAGTGCTCCTAATAAGAACGATAGGTCTTATTTCAGCACAGAATTAGTTCATTTTAGGTAGGTAATATGTTCATTTACCACAAAAAACCATTATCGGTGAGTAGGTTGAAATTAGTCTAGAGATACTGTAGGCTTGGGATACGCTTGAAGCCTATTATCCTGAGCCAAAATGCTAATAACCGAATCCACAAGATAATTTACTTGCACCAACATTAGTTCCGTAGCACTTTTGTTAATCTGACTGCTTATTCAATTGATTTAAACCACCGACTTTAGTAGCGAACAAATATACGTAAATGTCGGTCATTTAGTGACTGTATAAGGCATGTTCCTAAGCTATTCTAAAACACCAGAGCTGTTTTAGAAAGTCTCATTTTGTTCATAGGCTAGTGCATTCGAATAATTTAGAAACATGCCTAACATCGCCAAACGAGACTGACTTTTCGAAAACCTCCGCAAGGTCGACACAGGGCACGCATATATTATAAACAAAATTGGGGTTTTGCAAATGTGACGTTATGTTCGAGCTGAGCCACGTTTAGAGCAAAATGTAACTTCCAATATCCAATATCCTGATTACGAGCTAGTATAAACCAGTGATTTCTTTGAGCTCGCTTCTTGATTGTGAGGTAGAGGTTCCAGATCTTCGGTGAGCTTCTGCGTAGTAAGTCCCGCCACTCGACTGCTTTAGCTCTGGTAGACTCCAAGAGGAGTGGTGCGGGGATTGGTCAAGATGTGGTTTGTAGTATGCAGTATGTTAGGACTGTATTGCTGCCGTGAATGGAGTTTGACCTAACTCCCGTTGGTCATTCGGTGTAGTCATAAAAGCAGAATAGCAATAATAGTAATAATAATAGGTTGTAGTGTAGATAATATAGGTTGAGATAAGTCGAATAATAAAGGTGACCTAAGGAAAAGATAGAGTGAGAGAAGGCAGAATAGGTCGCGGGGATTTAGTTTGTACGCTTATCAATTGACAGTGTGGTTTCAAGTTTTATGGGGATAAGCCATTGAGACACAAACCTTGCATTTCTGCATGATTGTCTAGCTTCCGCTTAAAAATCTCCAGAGATGGCACTGTAGTCACGGCCGCCAGTAAAGCGTTCCAGAGACGGCAAACACGAAGCGAAAAGAAATGTGACCGCACTCGAGTCTTTGGTCTCTGGTGTGATGTGCTTAGCGGGTTACCTCGTGGAAGCCTATGATCACTTAATGGCAGGATGCTTTTATTTGGGTGGGCCTGGTCATTTTAGATCTGGTAGACGATGATGAGGTCTCTCCTGTGCCTTCGGTAACTAAGTGTGAAAAGACCTAATTTCTTTAGTCGTTCCTCATATGATTTGTTGCGGAGGCCAATCACCCATTTTGTCGCTCGTCTCTGGACACTTTCTAGAATGTTAGCATCTCTTTTGAGTAGCGGAGGTGCAATGATATTATGCACCTCAAGGTGTGGCCTCACATATGTCTTATATAACCTTAAGAAGAGTTCGGGAATGAGAGCTCCCAGCTGCCTATGCATAAGGTGTAAAGTTGCGTAGGCTTTGGCGACGTCCCTCGCGTAATTTCCACTGGTGTCTAGCTTTTCTGTTAGAATAAGACCTAGATCGCGCTCTGATGGAACACAACTCAAGTTCTGGCCACCAAGGGTGTAATTTACACTCTGTGACCTGCCGGAATGAAGTTGCACTACTTTGCACTTCTTTAGGTTGAAAGGCATTCCGTTAGCCAGAGCCCAGTTTCCCAGAGTTTGCAGGTCAGCCTGCAATCTGTCTGAGTCTTCCGATGAGTTTATTGCTCTCCAAATGTTTACGTCGTCAGCGTAAAGAAGCGCAGAGCAGTTTAGTTGGGAGGGCAGGTCGTTGATAAAAATCAAAAACATCAACGGCCCTAGGATAGAACCCTGAGTAACCCCTGATGCCGAGGTGTGCCAGGATGATCGGATGCGGTTGACTTTGGTGCAGAATTCTCTCTCGCCCAAGTAATCTTTCAGCCATGCGAGAAGTGCTCCAGAAACACCCGCCTTGCTTATTTTGTGAAGGAGCAGACCATGGTGAACTGTGTCGAATGCTTTCGCAAAGTCGAGAAAGATCACGTGGGCTGGTACCTTTTTGTCCCAGGATAGTGTCCAATCGTTCCAAGCTAGTAGAAGATTCGTCACGCAGGATCTTCCCCTCCTGAAACCGTGCTGTGCTTCGTGGAGAAGGTTGGTTCCGTCGAAGTATTTTCTCATGTGGTCGTCAATGAGACTTTCCAATATTTTCGATATCACTGGAAGTAGAGCAACTGGTCTATAACTGGTCGCATTCTCCCGGTCACCACCCTTGACGATTGGGGATAAGATTGCTCGTTTCCATTCACATGGAAGTTCCCCTACATCAAAGGAGTGTTGGAACAGATCACTTAGGGGTTGGCAGAGACTTTCTGAACGCCGCTTCAGGACAGATGGTCTGATGTCATCACAACCTGAAGACTTTCCCGAAGACAACCTTCCCAATTTTACAGATACCATAGCCGGGGTAATTTGATATGTACCCAGCAGGTTTTCGCGCGTCGGTTTTGCGATGTAATCTTGATGTTCTGTGGGGGTAATATCCTCGTTACTGTTTAGTTGCCTGTGAAAGGCTAGGCCGAATTTCTCCGCCATTTCGAGACTAGCAAGAGATTTCCCATCAGAACCCACTAGATTGCATGCTCCCTGGTTGGTCGTTTTTTCTTTCGGACATAAACCTGTATAGGCTTTTGGGGTTCACGAGAAGCTTATTGGCGAGGTTTCCTTATCGCCCCGGATTCGTATGTTACATTGATTACTGAGTTCAAGGTACACTTCATGTTCTGGTTGATTCTTCGATCGTCGCCACGCAAACCAGGCTTTTCGCTTCGCCTGCAGAAGGCGTTGTTTCCCCCCTTGATGATTTTTTATAAGTTGCATTCAGAATGTCTGGAGTCTCTGGACGAGTATTTGTCTGAGCTGAGTTTCCCCACATGTGTTCACATGTGGTAATTCCTTGAGTGATGACCGGAAGTCCTTACTTCCCAGGTAGCTCAGAGTGATATCAAAGCCCTTCGGGCCAGAGTTCACATCAGAAATCCTATCATACAGTTCATAAAGCCTGTCAGTTTCAATAAGTGGTATCAAGAATGTAGGAAATCTGTCAAATATCTTCAGGGATTACCTTTTGCACTGTTGTCGGTAGCCTGTTAACCTTGATCTTCAATTCACATTAATGTTTACCCATCCAGAAAATGATGTACGTTAGCCGACTGCAAAAGGATTGTCAGATATACCCTTCCCAATCATGGTCTTCTTTAAATAATGGCTAGAGGAGGTGATACGCAGTTCACAGCGTGTAACTAGACTTGTCTTAATATCGGGCTGTAGTCTGGGTGGCCATTCAGTAGCCAACTCCAAACAAGAATAGGATGATTCGAAGT